TCTATCTATCTATCTATCTATCTATCTATCTATCTATCTATCTATCTATCTATCTATCTAGCTATCTATCTATCTATCTATCTATAGTTAGAAAGAAGTGAGGAATAGGTCAGAGGTGCAGGGGGCTAGGGCAGGGAGGTGAAAGGATTCACCAGAGTGGGGAGCAGAACAAGCGGATCTACTGAAATACACTAAGGGGAGCAGTGGGTGAGACAGGAGAGGTCTGCTGTGCCATGTGGGTCACCTCCCTGGCCAGGGATGAAACTCAGGCTTTAGTGGTGATAGTGCTGATACTTAACCCCTAGGCTGCCAGGGAGCCCCCCCCCCCATGTGGTACTTCTGAAGGGTGCTCCTCTTCAAATCCTTACGCCCCTGGAATGGTTGGCACAAGGTCAAAGAACAAAAATATGACTATTAAATTCATCACTGGCACAAAACATCATGAGATTTCACAGCACAAATCCAAATAATTACAGGTTCTAGTAAATATAGTTTCAAATTCCATCATGTCAACATCAGGCCAGAGCCACAGGCACCAGGGTAGTGAACTGCAGTCTACACCACACCACACCCCTCCCCCTCCCAGTAGGCCTCTTGTATCAACTGGGTGGTCGGGAACACAAGTGTCATTGGGTAGAAAGAACATGGTACAGAGACCTAATTTATAAAGACCTTTGTAGCAACCTGAAGGAAATGCCACTTCCACATATTAAGATGAAAGTAATAAAAACCAAGACAGAAAAGCAAGTGTCGATGAGAATGTGGGGAAACTGGAGCCTCTGTAGGAATGTAAAATGGTGCAGTCCCTGTGGAAAACAGCACGGGCTGTTCATTGAAAAATGAAAAAGAGTTCACTGATCTGTGAAGTCTTCACTCTGCACCATGGCAGGAGATAGCCCAACTCAGGAACTGCCAGAATGTCCCCTTTGACAGTCACTGCCCTAACCAGAACAGACCAGAAGCTGCTGGCTGAACAACCTGGCTTCCTCACTGTGAGCAAGCCTGGCTGCTAACTGCCAGGGAGCAGCCAAGGTCTCTGTGCACAGCTGGCACCAGGTGCCCACCAGTCCCTCCACCTGCTGGCCTGGTGTCAACCTGGGGTGGCCACGGAGCAGGAGACTTTTCCTGGAATGTCTGAACTGGGTCCACCCCACTTCCATCCTTTCTGACAGGAGGTGAAGGGGGACCTGGGCACAGGGTGATCCCTATCTTGTGACCCTAAGTTATGGCTTAACTGGTATATACTTGCTGGAAAAGTAAAACAAAATAAAAAATGTTGCCAAATGAGCCAGCACTCCACTACTGGGTGTAGGTCCCAAAGAATCAAAAGGAGGGGCTCAGACACTTGTTTCGTAAACAGCATTACTCACAGTAGTCAAAGGCAGAAACCACCCAAAGGTCCCTCTACAGATGACAGCAGGAACAAAACTGGGTAAATCCTGGCATGGAATATTACTCAGCTTTAAAAAGGAAGGAAATTCTAATGAGGGCTCAACAAGGATAAACCCTGAGGACACAAACTCCTTGGCTATGTCTGTCATATAAGGGCAAATACTATTGTGATTCCACTGATATGCCGTCCCTAGAGCAGCATGCTCACAGGCACAGAAAGTAGAAGTGTAAAGGCCAGGTACTGGGGAGCTGGCATTTCACGGCGAGATTTTCCATTTTGCAGAGCTCTGGCGGTGGTGACAGCTGTTCAACGCGAATGTGCTTGATGCCAGGACTAGACATTGAAAATGGTTAAATGTTATATGGATTGGACCACAATTTAAAATACCAAGTAATGGAAATAATTTTTGTAAGACCAAGTGGGGAACAATGAAAACACCGGAAGTAAGCAATGGAGAAAGCTACTAGCACCCCTAGTGCCAGAACAGTGACCCCCACCCCCACCCCCGCTGTGTCTGGAGCTGGGTGGTAAGCGTCCTGGAGCAGACACGGTCTTCCTCAGCGAGAGGGGAGAGGAGCTCTGCCTCTCCCCTCCCCTTGGGCTCCCTCCCACCAGTGGTCCCCACGGGCTGAACCCAGCAGAATTTGGGGTCCCCTGTCTCAGGGAGTGAAGCAAGGGAAGAGACCAGGAGTGGTGCCCAGAGGGGTGGTAGAGAGCAGAGGGAGCCAGGCTGCCTGCATTGAGATGAGAGACTTTGGGCCCATCAGAGCCTCAGTTTCTCCAAGCAAAAATGAGGCAATGCTAATTCCACCTCCCACTGCTGTGGGTGGGAGTCTAGGGGCTCAGGGGGTGGAGGAGGGGTGGGGTGCCCACTGCACATGCCTGTTGGAACGACAGGCTGCTATCTTTGCTGTGTCCACAGGGTGGCACTTCCTTCCTTCCTTCCGCCTTTTGTCTTGGGAAGGTTCCAAAACGCCTCTGGGGGTGAAAACTGAACTGACCACACAGGAAGCATCTGGAGCCTGCACAGGGCAGTCGATAATTGGTTGATTGACTGGTCCGATGCTTAACCAAATGGCAAAAGGGACACGTGAGCCTGAATGGAGCAGGGTTTAGGAGGTGGTGAGGGAGGGAGGCAGGCTGGGGACCTCTGGGCAAAGGTCAGAGGTGATGGAAATTTCTGGTATCTGGCCTGGTTTGTTTTCTATTTAAGGAATAGTTATTCCGTGGCACTGAATATGGCACAGAGGAGGGGAATTAGGGACAATTAAGAATTTCATCTTTCAGCTCCTGGTTTTGGCTGCCTGAAGGGGGAGGGGAGGCTGGGCTCACCAGCTCCTAGTGGCACCCAGATATACCTATGCCAGCAGCCCAGGGGTGGAGGGAGCATGGTCTGGGCAAAGTCCCTTTGGGGTGGTCCTCTCTCTGGCTGTGGTTCCCTGGGCGCAGAACTAGGTCCCTTAGTGAAAGGTGTGGACGTGGCCTAGGTCAGTTCAGTATGTGCAAGGCAGTTCCTCAGAGTTGCAATCTCAGGTTCCTGGGGGCAGAGGCAGGGGCACAGTCTGGAGCTGCAGGGCTGCTACCCCTTGGATAGGGTGCAGATGGGTCCTAGTCTCCCCCCTCCCCTGTAGGTTCAGCACTTATAGCCAAAATCTGGTGGATGGTGGGAGGAGGCTGCTTCTCGGGGACTGACAACCATCTTCTGTCATCTCCCCTCCCCAAACTGCAGCTGCCAGTGGTGAGTCAGGCAGGAGCTGGAGGGGCTGGGTCCAGATCTGTGGGAGGGAAGGGGGAGGCAGGAAGAAGAGGACTGCCCCAGCCCTCCCCCCACGTGGGGGCCAGCACTCCTTTCCCCACAGTGAATCCCTGGGTGATGAAGGGGGGGATGGGTACCCGGTGGGTACTCTGGGGTCTGGTGCAACTCCCCCTCCCAGCAGCTCCAGTTTCAGTGCTGCTTCCTGCCCTCTGTGGAGGGGCTCCCTTCCTGCTGTGGCCTCCCCTCCCAGGCCCAGCTGCTCTACAAGCCCAACTGGGCTCCTGGGGTGGGGGCAGGGAGTCTGGGGGTTCACAGTGAGGCCAGCCCCACAGTGAGACCTGCTGGCTGCTTCGCTGTGACCATGTCAAGAGGCCGAGTCAGGCCACCTGGAATCTGAAAATTGTGCCCAGATCTCGGTGGAGACTACAGCAGGCTGGCACCATCAGGCCTCTCAATTCCCTCCAAGTGGCCACTTTGCTGTCCCCACCCCCACCCCCGACTTCAAACTTGCTGATCACCCAACCTGGATTGCTATCTCCATACTCCTGACACCAGTGGCTCAGGGGACACCTTCCCCTTCCAGTCTCCTATAGAGCTGCCCCCCCAAACAAATCTTCCTTTCTGAAAGAACACAAGCTCTGCATTGTTCCAAAGGCTCACCAACCATTAGCTATGAAGTGTATCCAGCTTGACTTCTCTGCCTCAGTTTCTTCCTCTGTAAGGCAATTTGGGGTCACACAGTACAGTACCCACCCAACCAGTCTGCCATGGCCCCCCTGAAGTGTAGTCCCTGAATGGGGGCCTGGCACATCAGACATCCTGTCCACATTTCTGAGTCAGTCAGGGAGGCTTCCAGAGGTTCTGGGGTGACGGAACCAAAGCACCATCACGTCCTTGTGCAGTGGCCAGTCTTCCTGGCTTTTCTCTAGCCTCAGCCCAGAGGAGAGAGCAGATCAGAGGTTCAGATTCCACAACACTTGAACATCTGGGTTCACATCTGCCCTTGAAACCCCACTCCCAGGCCCTTCCTGGTGCAGTGGGTTAAAGTACAGCATAGTGAAGCTACCTGCAGCCATTGCAGCAGGAGTTCGATCCCCTGGCAGGGAGGTGACCCACATGGCGCAGACCTCTCCTGTCCTACCCACTGCTCCCCTCAGCAGTTTATTTCAATCAGTCTGCCTGTTCTGCTCTGCACTCTGTCTCTGGTGAATCCTCTCACTGCTCCTGCACCTCTGGCCTGTACCCCAGTTCTGTATGCATAAATAAGTAAATCTTTAAAAACAAAAAAATCTCTCCCCTACCTATTGACCTGTAAAGTGGGAGCAACTCTAACCAAGTCTTACTCCAGGACTGGGGAGTACCTGACCAGTTAGGGCTTGACTAAAGGGCAGGATAGCCCCTTTGGGTGACCGCATGGTGGTCACAGTAAAGGCATAGGCATGTTCAGAGGAAGAGGCCCTGTCACATTCCCAGGGTAGGCAGCTCACCTCCCCACACTTGTGGGAGGCCCAGGTGAGGGCTGCATTCTTGCCACTTCATCCATACTTGAAGATATTCCCAGGCACTGCAATTGTGCATTAGGTCAACTGGGTCTGTGGATATTTGACTCACAACCACTTGTCAATAGTGACTTTAAGTGCCTAGAACTTCAGCCAGAGCAGACATGAGCTCTTGTCCTCGCATGGTCTCTACCACCTGGGTGACCTTGGGTAAGAGGCGGCTGTCTCAAGGCCGTTTTTCATTCCAAAAGCCACAGTGCTGCTCCGTGGACCCTGGGCCTGCTGCTGGGGCTGACTCCAGAGGCATCATTCCCCCGTGGCTTGATGGTGCTGATTCTGTAAAGTGGATACTCCTGTAGGTCTGGGGTGGTACTGGGACACAGGGAGTACCAGGGTGGTGCCACAGGGTGGGTTCTGCAGGTGCTGGCCACCAACCCGCTTCTTCACTCTCTCCACTCCAGGGCTTCAAGTGCTGCTCCTGCAAAAGGGCTGGGGTGAGCATCCCTGAGGCTCTGGCTGAGCTCCATCATTCAGGAAGGCTCTGGCCACTATCCGGCTCTTGGAGGAAGAACAGGCAGGAGCTGGAGGCCATGGGCCCGAGGCTGTCCCAGGCACCCAGCCAGCGCCCAGCTGTGAGTCAGGGCCCAGGCATTCAGAGGACCGGAGCCTCTCCCAGCCCCTGTGAGCTCAGACACCTCCCTGTACCCGCCTGCTAGGCCCTTCTGGTTGTTATGTTCTTTACTGGCTTGCTCACTCCTTTGGTTGGTTCCAGGGCAGTCTGGGGAGACAAGAAGACACAGTGTCTCTGTGTCTGGGTTCATGTAGTATCTCTGAAGGGAACTTCTTCCTCTTGTGAAACTGAGGCTCATACCCCCTTGGCCCCCATCCTGAACACAGAAGTTGGGAGTGAAGGCCCCCTGGATGTTTGGGGGCCCAGGCCAGGGGTACAGATAAACCAGGGTTTGTACTGGCAACTGTCCCACAGCTTTCTCTCCCAGGCCGCTGCACGTACATGTTTCAGTGCCTGAAGGAAAACATGCCGAAAGAACTCCTGGGCCTGGCTCTTCTAACATGACCTGGAGCCTACCAGGACCGGGGGTGCTCTGGCACTTTTACTCACTCATATGGGAGAACAGGAATGTACTTAGCTGACCCCTGGCTGGTTTCTGGGTAAGACCTCAGGGTGGGTGAATGGCCGTGTGCGCCTGGCCTCTCCAAAGGACACCAGCAGCAACAGGCAACATGTCTGTTTGTCACTATTGAGGGGCACACTGTTGGAATCTAAGGGATGGAGGCCACAGACACTATCCTAGTATCCAGGATAGCGTGGACAGAGAATGACCCAGTCCCAAAGTCTCAAGGGCAGAGGCGGGAAACTATCTTGCTAGAGACTTTATGCCCTTTGGAGGTGACCGATAGTGCACATGGGCTTCTGCTCCCATCTTGGGCCATCTATAGACCATGAAAATGAAATGAACTATGTGAACATTACTTGAATACATAAAGCCAGGTTCTTGGCATAAGGGCTCTGAAATTCTGGGGAATCTTTCTCAGGGAACTGAATGGACTGGGGTCTTACATTTCAGAGACTGATTAACAGCCTGTCTTGGGGGCTCCATTTCTCTAGAGTCCTGACAGGTAGGTTTCCTTGCTCAGGACCTCTGAATATCACCAGAATGGGCTGATTTAGTACCCACTTGATGGTTCAGATGCTGCTAGAACTCACTGTTCTGTTTACAATGCCTCTCTCTGAATAAAAATGTTATTTGAGCTCACCATATACAATTTAGTTGTACAGAGACACGCAAAAGCCCAGCAGCCAGAGGGTCATGTATCTAACACCTGCTGGCTTCAGGCAGGGCTAAGTCCAGGGGAAAATTTATCACTGGGACCCTACTTTTCTCTCTCTACCCTCCAACAGACCAGTAGGCCACAGTCAGTTAGGGTTCAAGCTGGCTTTTTGTGATAGAAGAACCAAAATAACAAAGGCATACACAAGATAGAGCTACCTCCCTCATGTAAAGAAGTCCAGCACTGAGGCCTGACTCCATCTATCATCCCTAGAATACTGCACATTCCTTTGTGTGGCAACATAGCTGTTAAGGTGCCAGCTATCACAACCGAAACCCAGGAAATGGTGGAGAGGCAGAGAAAGGTCACACCAAGGCCTTTAAAGTGTTCTTTGAGAAGCTTTCATAACATTTCTGCTTATATTTCAATAGGCTGGGGCCTTCCCCAGTGGTGCAACAGGTTAAAGTGTAAAGTGCAGCACTGTGAAGCTATCGCCGCCACTGTAGCACGAGTTTGATCCCAGCCAGGTTGGTGACCCACATGCCGCAGCAGACCTCTCCTTTTCTCCCACTGCTCCCCTCAGTAGCATATTTCAGTCAATCCACCTGCTTTGCTCCCCACTCTGTCTCTGGTGATTCCTCTTACTCCCCCACCCCCGACACCCATACCTCATTGAAATAAATTCCAATGGCCTGAACTTCACTACAAGGGAGGCTGGGAAATTTGTCTTTTAACCCAGTAGCTGAAAGGGTACCCTTAGAAAAAAGAGAGAATGCATATCAGAGAGGCAGCCAGGGGTTCTGACACAAAACCCACCTTGGAGCTAGAGATGAGCCCCTATGCGAGTCACATGCACTGAGAGTTAGGAGGGGGCACAGTGGAAAATCTGGGCATGGACTAACTATCTGCTTCCCCCTTAAGTCCCAGGGAAATTTTCTTTGGTTGGTGTCTTATCCTTTTAATCAGGATACACTTGGCAAACATCTCTGTATGTTGCTTAATTCACAATTCACAGCATCCAGCACCTCGATGCATCCACAGCTGCACTTGACCTTGCTGTAGCTGGAGGCTGTGGCACCAGCTCACCTTTGACTTCTCTGTCATCCTTGTCTTCAGTACCTAGTACCTTTATGGGCACACAGTGACATCCAAACACATGCCCTGAATGATTAAACAATAGTTAAACTTGAATAAAAAATGACAGGGTCTGCCCTGGTGGCATAGGGGTAAGTCTCAGCGTTATTATGCTAGAATCACTATAGCCTAAGTTTGATCCCCAGCCAGGGAGCTGACCCACATGGCACAGCAGACCTCTCCTGTCTCACCCACTGCTCCCCTCAGCAGTAAGCCCACCTGTTCTGCTCCCCACTCTATCTCTGGTGAATCCTCTCACCCTCCCCCCCACCCCCATATCTCTGGCCTGTATCCCATTTCTATGCATAAATAAATAAATAAAATCTAAAAGAAAAAAGATAAACACCTGGAATTTGTCACCATGTACTACAGAGTAATTTGAAGGTATTGTCACTAACTCACATTAGTCACAGGCCTGCACAGTTAAGTCAGTTCTCTATAGTGACCCAGCCAAGCCATTCAAACATTTAGACTGAAATTGGAGGTGAGGGAGAGGGCAAAATCCTGGAAAAAATCCATTTATGTATAAACATTTAATATTAAGTTGATGTCACCACCAACCACCCACCATGCTGACTCCCTGTGTGCAGGACAGTCTGAGAGGCTCCTGGTTACCACTTCGTGTCCACCAAACTCCAGAGATAGTCACTGATGAATTTCTTGGAGAGCTGGGTGCTGTCCAGGTGAAGGGGCTGGGCAATGCTGGGGCCGTGATGGACTAGGTGGAGATGTAAGGAAACTGCACGTGCAGCCCTGCCCACCACCCACAGGGGAAGGGTAACCGTTGAAAGTTTTGAGACTGAAATTAATGTTTGTAACGAAAGTTCAATTCTCGTAACGCACTATCATTTTTTGAAAATTTGTGGTAAAAGATATGCAAAATTTGCTATCTTCTAGTTCCCAGTTCAGTAGCATTAAGCACGTTCATGTTGTGCCACCATCCCCACCAGCAACCTCCAGATCTTTTTCATCTGAAAAAACTGAAACTCTGTCCCTGTTAAACACTAACTTCTCATACCCTTCCCCCAATGGCTGACTCCCACCATCATCCTGCTTCCTACTTCCGGGACTCTGACTCAAGTCTATGCAGTCACACAGTACTTGTTTCTGTGTCTGCTGATTGCAACAGCACGATGTGCTTCAGGTTCATGTGTGCAGCAGCATGCACCACGGTTTCCTTCTTCTTAAGGCCCAGCAATCGCCCGTTGTACAGACCATCACATTAGGTATCCAGTCATTTGCTGACAAGGCACAGGGGCTGCTTTACCTTTGGGCTAGGAACATGAGTGTGTCTGTCTGAGGCTCAGCAGGATGGGTGGGTCCTATGGAAACATGGGTTCCACAGTGGCTTGCTCAGGGTTTCACTTTTTCCACAAAGGATACTGCCTTTGATCATCCTTGGCTCACAATCATAATCCCATTCAATTTTACTAATCCGGTGATAAAGTTGAGCGACATACCTACATAAGAAAACAGAGAGAGAAAAGTCACCCCAGCATCAACAACGAGCTATAGAACTGAACACACACACACACACACACGCATGCACGCATATGAGTGCACGCTTGTGGGACCTACACTGCTGATGGGATGGTGACTGTGGTGTCTTCTTCAACTTCCCTCTCCTTTCTTTCCAGATCAGCCTCGATCTCCTTGAGCTCGTCCAGTTCCTGGGTGAGCTGGGTAGAGCAGGCAGTTAAGGACCCCTTGCTCTGGAAGGAAAATGGCCCGTGTGCTAACCAGAATCGCACCAGCCCCAGGGCCTCTGGCTCCCACCACATTGACTCTTGAGAAGCATTCAGTGCATGCAAGAAAGGATATAGGAGGCTGTCCTTCAGATGCGTGTCCTCCTCCCCGGCCTTCTGAAGTTCAGCCTCAAGCTGCTGCAGCTTGGCACCCCCCTGGTGCGCCTGCTCCTTTGCATCAAGAAGGTTCTGGGCCACTTCCTTCTCCATAGCCACGATCTCTGCAGGGCAACAGAGAAGGCTTTGGCCCCTCAACTCGGGATCCTTGGTGTCCGTCCTTCCCCAGCAGGGCCCAAGAGGAAGGCCATTTATCTTCCTGCTGCCTCCGCCATACAACCAATATCCCCTTTTCCTTGTCAGCAGCAACCCCTACTCCTACTCATTCTATTTCCAAATGCCTATAACAGAATTTCACCTGAGCCTTCTATAAATGCTCCCATTCCATCAAAATGCATGTAGATCCACAAAATAAAATCCATCCTTCTTTGCAACTAGTACTAATTTATGATGTCATGGCCGAGCAGAACTCACTTTCCCCAACCATTTAGCATGCCGATCCCTTCTCATCTTGCTTGAACAGTCCTTCATCTCTCCAGGACACACAAGTAGCCTCCCCTCCAGGCCCTGCTTTGGTCTCTCTTTGTCAAACTGCCAGTTCTTTCTGCTCTCTGCCTCCAGAGTGGCTGCGTTAGAGGTTAAACATAAAGTCATTCCCCCACTCAAAGACCTCTATTGCCCATGGTCTCCAGCAGAAAATCCAGGCCCCTGTTGGCATTTCTACCAGCCCCTTTTCTCCTGGCTTTTTGCCCCACAGTGTCCTACTTGCTCTTATCTGGCCATAATGATGCCTCATCACACTGTGAACACACCCCCTTTCCCACAGGCCTCACCTCCTCGTGCTGCGTGTTCCCACCACCTGGCACACAAATACCTAGCCTTCAAGACCTCCCAGGCAGTGCCTGATACGGACAGCTGCAGCCTCTCCTGCCCCGGGGAGACTGTGCTTCCTTGGCAGCGCCTATCACATTGACTACTGCTCCTCAGCTTACCTCTTCGAATCAGAAATTGCACCTTATATTCAGACACATCAGCACCTACTCAAAATACATACACTTATGTGTGCTTATCAACAAGGATGGGTACTGAGAAATGTGTTAGGTGATTTTGTGATTGTGTGACCATCATAGTATGACAGCACAGACCTAGATGGTGCAACTTGTGCATACCAGGCTCTCCAGGATGACCAGTGGATATGCTGTCCCCTGTTGACCAGAAGCTCACTGAATGAGGCAAGACTGCACATTGAATGAAACACCCAGAAAGGTTAAAAACATATTAAGGCTACTGTATTTCTTCCTTCCCATAGCCAAAGAAACCTGCCAAGTCTGAGAAAGCACAAATGAAAATGAAAATACCACCCAAAGGGACAATACTGAATTGTTAACAAACTTACACTATGCTAATTTTTATTCCCAGTAATGCATGTTTATGTATGGTTATGAAAATTCAAACACACACATACAAAACCATCTCTAATCTGCTTCATCCCTCTGAAGTAGCCGCTTTGAACTCACTATTTTCTCTGGCTTTAACTTCATATTTCACTGTCTGAGACAGTGTCTGTTAATTTCCTATGAGGACAGCTGATGGTCTGGGGCTCACAAAGTCTTCCTATCACCAGTCACCCTCCTGCCCAGATAACCACGTTTCTGTGGCTTCTTTCCTGGGAAGAGAACTCTTGTGTGTGGACATTTGTTATAAGGCCCGGTTACCTAAGCGCTAAGTGCCTCAGGATGACTTCAGAGCCCTGCTCACTGTGCTCTCACAATCTTCTCAAGAAAGTGACTTAACTCTTCTCCAGCTTAAGAGGTAAAGAATGGAAGGCCAAAGCAGTTCGTTACTTGTCCCCACACACATTCCTCCAGGCTGGATCTTCTTGATTCAAAGTCCTGGCTCCCTAGAACACAGGCTCTTATCCTTCCAGCCCCAAATCCGTGCTGATCTCCCCAAACCATCAATGGAGGGAGGGGAACTAATAGAGAAAAGAGGAAGAAAGAAAGAAGAAAGGAAGGATGGATCTTAAGTATCCATGTTGCTTAGCTGACATTCAAACTCTTCCCTGGGGCTCATAGGCCTGGAGGAGTCTGGATCTGCTGACCTCATCTTCTACCACTTTCTCCTGGGTCTCCAAGTCACCTCATGACCTTTGCATATTCAGTTTCCTCTGGCAGGAACTCTTCCCCTAGAGTAACCCCAGGCTAGCTTCATAGTCACTCAAATGGCACCTTCTTATAAAATAAAACTAACAAGGTACTAAAGCCCCTAGTACCAAAAACACTATGGAAAGCAAGATGGCAGTTCCTCAAAAAAAATTAAACATCAAGTTACCGTTTGAGGGTTGGGATGGAGAGGGAAAAAAGTTATTTTATCTAGCAATTCAATTTCAGAGGAAAAAAAAAAAACCTGAAAGCAGGGACTCAAAACAGGTATTTATATACCCATGAAGCATTATTCACAACAGCCAAGGTGTGGAAGCAACTCAGGTGTTGAAGGATGGAGGGATAGTAAACAAAATGTGGTACATATACATATACATAATAGACTATGTTATTCAGCCCTAAAAAGAATTCAGATACATGCTGCAACATGGATGAACCTTAATGCGAAGTGAGACACAAAATGACGAATATTGCATGATTCTGACAATATGAGGTAGCTAGAGGAGTCAAATTCATAAAGACAAAGGTAGAATAATGGTATCCAGGAGCTGGGGGAACAGGCAGTAGGAGTTAGTGATTAATAGGTACCAAGTTCTGGAAAGGGATGGTGGGAGGTAATGGTTGCACCAGAGTGAATGTAGGTAGTGCCACTGGACTGGACATTCAAAAAAGTCAGTAGCTTAAAATAAAAAGTCCTCATACTAAGAGCAGCAATGACAATGGCAGGACTAGAGCATAGCAGGGCACAAACATCATCTCCAAGAATGTTTCACAGATGAAGAAACTGATACTGAGCTGGGAAATTGCTGGACTGGGATCACCTGGCTCATGAGCTAACTGCTGAAATCCTTAGCCCATCTCCTCCTTGACAAATCCATTTTTCTCATTTATCCTCTGTCCTCACTCTACTAGTACATCAGCCTCCCAAGGGATTTTGTCTGTTGGATAGGTTCCCTGTTGTCATCCAGGGATGACACTACGCCTGGCACATAGCAGGTGCTCAGTAAAAGATGTGAACCATCTCAGCAGAAGATAGGGCTGTCATTTACAACCATCGCACAGATAAGGAAGCTGAGGTACAGAGAAGTAACTTACCTCAAATCTCACAGCTGGGAAGTGAGGGTGGCGGTATCAACACTCAGTGATTTCACCCCTGTGCCCCAGTTCCACCGACCCTGAATCTCCTAGCTCCTACTCACAGAACGCTCAGAATTGGACCAGATCCTGCGAGCTCCTACATTCACCACCGGTAGGTGGTTTCTCTCCTGATGCCCATTTGACGGGAGGGAAAACTGAGGCTCAGAGGGGCGGTGCCCACCCGCCGGTCCCACGGGGGTACAGGGCAGGGAATGGGGTTTCAGGAGAAAGGAAGGGAAGGGGTCTTGCCCCAACCCTCACCCCGCAGTCGCTGTTCGGCGCCATCTTGCGTTTCCAGAAGCCGTTCCACCATCTGTTCGTGGCGCCTAAGCAGTCGTCGTTGCTGCACTTCCGCGCGGTTGGTGCCCAGAAGGCTCAGTAGCCCTTGGCTCACCTCTTCCATGTCGCGGAAAGCCGCCATGACTACGCCGGGACCACTCCCGCGCAAATTTGACTGCCCTTAGGGCCCGCCCCCCGTCCCCGAGCAGACCCGTTTCCATTGGTTTGGTCCAACGTCAATCACCAGTGATGGTGGGCGGGGCTCCGCTTTCGGGTCTGGCCTAGTGCGCCTGCCCTGGATCCTCCGCGAGTCTTAGCGATGACCAATCGGCGCAGGGAGGCGGTGCCTTCGGGCGCGGCGTCCAGCCTGTCGCGCCTGCGCAAAACTGCAAGAACCTGAACCTCTCCAGTCCCGCGCCTGCGGCGTACTGGGCGGGTTCTAGAGGAGAAGCCGGCAAGTACTTAAGGAGTTGTTGGCCTACAGTGCATGCATGGGATACTCATAATAAACATCAATAGTAGAGGCAGAAAAATGGAGTTTGCAGTCAGATTTATTGGGCTTGAATCCCAGCTTTACCACTCACTGTGTTGCCTTGGGCCAATTAAGTTACCCCTCTTTGCCTCACATTCCCCTCCAGTAAAATGAGGGTCTTGGTGGAACCGACTTCAGAGTTGGGGTGAGGATTAAGTCAGGACAGAGCCTGTTTCTATGTAAGCATTGAATAAAACATCCACAGAATGGGTGAGTTAGCTAGCAGGTGAGTTGCTTACCTTGCACAGGACGTGATGGGGTTATAGTGAGGAAAGACAAACTACACACTTTCATGATATATACCTCAAAGTGAGGTAAAGAAACCAACTCAGCAGGTCTGACCAGCATTTTCTACAAAATACAATGGGGGGGAATTAGTGAATTGTGTACAGAGGTTTAAAGTATTATTTTGGGAAATGCCAAACTGTGTACCAGCTGTGGAAGAATACATTTGATTGTCAGGAAAATGGCTGATAAAATAGTTTTTACCTTGCCTTCCTTGTCAATAGGCTGATTCTACAACCAGATCTCAACAATGCTCAGAAACAATGGGGTAAGTCTGCTTTGTTGGGGCTCAGCCCGTGACTCTTCAAAGCCCACAGATCCACGAGCCAGTCCTGATCTGTGTGCAGGTAGGGGCTTAGCTTTTCCCTTTTATATCTGGCTCCAGGATTCTAAGTGGACCAGATTCTTCACTCAACTTGGAGTTAATTCTTTTTTGTTGTTGTTGTTGTTGTTGAAAATCTACCTCAATTTGTTTAAAACAGAAGATCCAAAGGTAGTACTCTTAACTGACCCCACCTTCATTCCAACCAAACTATCCAGGAGAAACTGGTTATATGTTGCTGAGTCCTTTGCCTCTCTGCTTCTCTAAACCATAAATTTTAGGGCAGGTACCTCTCATGAGTACTTTGTTTTGCGTCTTGTAGTTAGCTCTACATGGGTGACCATAGAAGCCATGTTTGGAAATGAACTGAAATGGATAAAGGATCAGACCATGGTTGGTGATGTCCTTCTGTAGCCTGGCAATGAAGCCAGGGTGGTTCCCCCACCCCAAGGTGGTTGCTGGTGAAGACAGATAGCTTCAGGGAAAACTAAAAAATACCGGGATTTTGAGGAGGGGCTTCCTTGGAGAAGAAATAGAGGAGTTAATTCTTTATATTGAAAATGAAAAGCAAGCTGATTGGTGGTAAATGATCCCATCAAACATCTAGGATTGAAAACAGCCATTGAAGTTTGAGGATGAGGAACCCTGAAGATGATATGACAGAGTAAGAGCCAGCTTGAGTCAGTCAGCAGCACCCTTCTGAAGTGAGAAGCATTCATTGGATCACCTTTGAAGAAGGATGCAGCAGACCTCTGCAGACACTCCTGCCCTGTAGACTTCCAAATATCCAGACTTCCCAGACCTCCTTAGAACTTTGCAGAGATCCTGCTGCACCTGCCTCTAGCCCTGCTTCTGACATTGCCTTCAAGGAGCATTGTCGTCCGTGGCCTGATGTCTTAACGAACTGTTGGCTATTGGTTCATACCAATAGCTCGCGAAGAGCTATAGCACTGGCGTTCTGATACTGACCCTGGTGACCAGTACTCTGGCCACTTTTAAGAGCTGTCCCCCACATCTGGTTCTCCAGCATGCCTTGCTGGTGCTGCTGGGTCCATCGTGGTTTGGCCCAGGATCTGGTGCTGTCCAGCATGGCCTTCAGACTGTTGTTGTGGGCTATTGCATTGCCATGTCAGTGGCCTCACCTGTGAGCACCTCCAGCTATCAGAGTGGACCACTCTGACACTGTTGTCTGGTATGCCACCAGCTCTAGGTCCTTGTTGATGGGACAGTGCCATCTAACATAAGTGGCCTTTGTATGGGACTTCTGGACACCATCTAGGGTGAGATAGCTGGCCACTTGTTGCCTTAGAAACTCCTTTCCCTCCTGCCCCAGTCTTCTACTTGTTAAATAAACCATTTTGTTGTTGAACCCTGAGCCAGCGTGATCAGTTGTGTGCATAGGTGAGAACCCATTGACAGTGACTTGTCCCCCACCTTGGGCACTGTCCCTGGCACTCTTAGTACTATTTTAGTACTCTTTCTGTCTTAATTCCTCCTCTTGAATATGTGTGATAGTTTGTGTAAGAAATACAAAGTACAGGGCCTTTCTGGTAGCCTAGAGGTTAAATCTCAGCACTACCATTGGGACAGCCTGTGTTCCATCCCCAGCCAGGGAACTGGCCCACATGGTGCAGCAGACCTCTCCTGTTTGACCCACTGCTTCCCTCAGCCATGTATTTGCGTAGATCTGCTTGTTCTTTTCCCTACTCTATCTTTGGTAAATCCTCTCACCCCCTCACCACAAGCCTACACCCCACAAAAATAAATAAAAATTTAAAAAACAAATAGAAAGTACACTGTGTGACTTCCATGCTTAGGTCAGAAACTAGGATATAACTTTTGCCTGGTGCAGTTCTATGACTTTCCCCTTGCTTAATTTCAGGATACTTTCTCCTGTAGCTGTACTTCCATGTTGTGAGGAGGTCCAGGTGATGTGAAGAATCTTTCAGTAAGGCACCAGCCAAAGCCAGCATCAACTACTAGATGAGTGAGTGTTGAAATTATACAGCCCCTAGCCTTCAGGTCATTCCAGCTGATACCGAGAGGTGCAGAGATAAGCTTCTCTCATCAATCCCTGCTCAAACTGCAGGTTTGTGAACAAGATCAATGCCGTTATTTAATGCCAGTACATTTGGAGTTAGTTTATTTTGCAGCCATAACACCTGTGTTGCTGAGTCACACGTAAAACGCGTATCGTACTCTAGGTCACATAACCCATTGAAAGCCTCTACTCTAGGACCCTCCCTGGTGGCAGAACCGATTAAAGTGCAGCACTGCAAAGCTAGCTCCAGCCACTTCTGTGTGAGTTGGATTGATCCCCAGCCAGGGAGGTGTCCCACATGGTGCAACAGACCTCTCCTAACCCTCCGGCTGCTCCCCTTAGTAGTGTATTTCAGTAGACCTGCCTGTTCTGTTCCCCACTCTGTCTCTGGTGAATCCTCTCACCTCCCCTACATCTCTGACCTGTATCCCAGTTCTGTATGAATAAATAAATCTTTTTTAAAAAGAAAAGAAAGCCTCTAATCTAATGGTAAAATCTTATAACAAATGAACAAGATTATTTTAGACAGAAACACTGCTCTGAAGACAGTAAAACAAAGTTAAAGGATTGAATCATTTGAGTTGGGATGGGGGAGTAGGGTGACTGGGTAAAGTGGTCAAGGATGGAACAGAGGAGGGAACATAGGAACTGGGACGCGAATGCTGAAAGATGTAGAGAAACAAAATGCCTGACAGAAGAAAGTGCAAATGCCCCTGAGGATGGCAAGTTTAATTTGTAAAGGGTCCATGAGGAGTTTGGTGTGGCTAGAGAATAAGCAGTGATGCTACTAGGGGCCCTGAAACTTTTATTCTGGCATAAGAAGCACTGGAAGACATTAGGAAAGAAGAGCGATGGGCTGGGCTGTCTCCAGAGTTCCCAGAATCAAGACAACTTGCTGGCAGCTGGGACAGGAAGCATGAGGAGGAGGAGGATGGTTCCTAGGGTTTTGACTCAAATAACTGGTTGGATGGTGGTGCTAGTGGCCTAGAGGAGGAGGTGCTTATCATGTCCAGAAGTGGTGGTCTGCGTGAGATGAAAATTTAGGAAAGTTTTCAGTACCTGGGAGATATCCATGTGCTGTCAAGTGATGATGACTTGACTATATGAGTGTGCAGACATTTGGTCTGGAGACAAAAATCCAGGCGTTTTCAGGGTGCAACCCAGACCAGATAAGACCACACTGAGTGAGAATGAATGAAGCTCTGAAACCCTACCTCTGTAGAAATTGTAGAAAACAGAAGAAACCAGCAAGACAGAGGAGGAATGGCCAAAGAGGAAGAAAAGAAGCTACAACAAAACTGTTAGGAATGTGATGTCAGTTGACCATCAGGAATCCAAGAGACCTCTAATCCTCAGTGCTTAAGTTTCATGAAATATTTCCCCCAGAAAGACTCCAGGTATGTCCAGGTCCTTAAATTTTTAAACTGGTCATGTAGCTGGAGACATCCTTAGGACAAATTTATTTGGCCATCATGGGTAACATTCACTTGAAATATGATGTGAGTGACAAGAGAGGCTCTTCCTTGAAAGATGTTCATAACATCCATGTTAGAATTTTGTGCAGCTCTGGGGTGAGAAGACCTTCCCCAGTCTTTGTTTCCTGTAGTAGGTATCAGAGGTACACGAGATGACACCTATGATACTGTGATTTGTTGAAAATACATCTACTTGGTCATTTATATGACAAACCAATATGCTTTCATACATATTTGGTCTTCATCCACAGTTCTTGGATCACAGCTCCCCAAAGCCTTTGAACTTCCTAAATGTTAAGGGTATTGATGGTGTCTGTCAACGAGATGAAATCATATCCTGATACTTCTGTGGGAAACAAATGAGGTGTCACGTTGGGTTTGCGGACCCAGTACCAAACAGTGGAATGAACATGGGAGACTCCCCACACCAGCACATGATGTTGGTTAGAGAACCAACCTTGTGATAAGAGGGTTGTAACTGGCAGTG